AGATTAACGAAGGATACATGTCGAGATGCGAAAATGAGAGACCTGTTTATAGCATTACCATATGCAAAGAAAAATCAGTAATAGTAGTCGTTGCAGCTGCGTATGCAGATGTTTCGGCTGCTTTAGAATTGCTTATTGTTGTGGCAATATCGAAGCTAGTAGATTAGAAATATTATGCAAAGCTGTTGCACTTGCGAAGTATGTCATCTTATGGCTGCGTACAAGGCCACAACGCATAAAATTGTTATTTGCGAAAGTCTTATAAAAATAGCGGACGTTTCGAACCAAGTTCAATCAGGCTTCAGTTGCTAGTTAGTAGTAACTCATAGTTGCTACACTGTGAAGATGGACCATGCTTGGTCCGAAGCGTCAGTGCTTGTTGTAAGATTTTCGTAAGTAAACATTTTACCCTTGCCCAAACGTTGCTCTCATCCATATCAAGAACTCATGCATTATTTTAAACATAAACAGGAATATTTTGCTGTATTTATATGATCACTGAGTAAAACGTTTCGAAGTCTATTTCCTCAGTGCTGTCCATGTAATTTTAAATCTTCCATGCTACTAATATGGGCTCCATGATCGGACCCTCATTTCTGGCTCGGATTTTTCCTTTGTTAACTCCTAATTTTCTTGAACAAGAAATTCATCCAACTGTTCTTCTGTGCAGCCAGTCTAAAAGCCTTTGACAGATCATTAGCCCATGAAGAATAGGAACAGCATGGTATTTTTGTTGCGATCATGCCAGTGGGTGCAAGACATACGATCAACTGTTTGATGCGTGCACCTTCGATTCACCTGATAGTCAACTAAAACATCAGTGCAGCGTATAAATATAAATTTAAGGTTTATGATATTCAAATTTGTGATATCAAAGTTTGACACGTTTCGATTTATGTAAGGAAGCGAAAATGCCAGTAGCTCTAGCTAGCGTGCTTTTTAAAAGTGAGATCTGAACTACCGTGATAATTCTTCCATTCTTCTTTTTTGATGTTTATTGGTAGCTGTTTTTATTAGCGCCAAAATCTTACTCGTCAACGTGGCTTATGGTTTTCCTTACTTTAAGGATAAACAGAAGGCAGTTATCTTGACCTTCTTATGTAGTTGTTTAGAAATTATGACTTATGGAAGTTGTTTTTCGTATGATTGTTGAATATATAATTGTAGGTAATCTCACATGGTGGACCACGGATCAAGATTTGGCGGATGCGGTAGCCAGCATAAATGTCACCGATTTGGTGGACATCAAGTTTTACGAGAACCGAGCGAATGGCCAGTCGAAAGGGTTCGCGTTGGTTAGCTTCGCGTCG